TGTGCTCCCTACTTCCCACAATAGTAATTCTTAGTGGAACTATGACCATCATTTTCTAGAACATAAAACCCGGGCTCAAAAGAGGTAGCAAGTTATCCAAAAAATCACATATTAAGAATTAGAAATCGCTTTACTGGCTTTTAAAATAATGCAAAGTTACTAAGCACACCCTGTGTGCCAGGCTGTGTGCCAGGCGTGTGACACACACAAAGCAGAACACAGTCCCTGCGGTACAGGAGCATGTACACACCCTGCATTGTGTTGCGGTACAACACAAGGTTTCGTGGGCCCCTGAGAAGGTGAACTGAACCTGCAACAAGAGAAGGGCTTCCTCAAGGAGAAGCTTGGTCTTGAAGAAGCAGGAGTAGGGGTTACCTGGGGCAGAAGTGATGGGGTTGGGGCAGCTTCCACACAGAGGAAAGGGAGTGTGCTGAGCACAACCCATTTGGGGAATGGTAAATGGCTTGGTGTGCCTGGAGCATTCAGCATGTTTTGGAGATTGGGAAGGGATGAGTTTGGGGATTGACATAGGGGGTCAGATTTGGAGATTCCCATGGCCATGCTGAGAGGCTGCACTTTAATTCTGACATCAACGATGAGTCCAGAGGGTTTTAGGCAGTGGAATGTCATGACTGGCTTTTCTTTGCAGAAAGATGATTTTGATGCGTTAGGAGCCAGGGAAGCGTGCTGGTTAGGAAACTGTCTCAGTGGTCCCAGGGAGGGAGGCTGAGGGTGTGAACAGGGCGGTGGGAGTGGGCCTGCAGAGGTAAGGAGCGGTTCCTGCAGAGGAGAACCGACTGACTTCTGCATCTCACTGAGGTGGGTGGGGGGAGGAAGAAAGCTAGGAAGATGTCCTTGTTTCTGGCTCAGGCAGCTGGGAGAATGGTGGGATCACTCACAGAATTAGGGAGAACAGGAGGAAGAACAGATTTTGTGGGGGAAGACGGTGAGTTTGGTTTCGGACGTGTTGACTTTGAGATGCACACGGGAAGTCCAACCATTGCTGTTTAGCAGGCAAACATATGCAAAATCATGGCTGTGACTGTGCTTCTCAAAAGAGACCATGTGCAGTAAGACATGAAGGGGCCAGACACCCACGTTTAAACAAGGAACTGACAGAGAGGAGGTCGGCCAGGAAAGCAGCAATGAGTGAGATGCGAAGTACGAGGAGCACCAAAAAGGAGCAAGAACTTGGGGGCGGGGCAAGGGCTTTGTGGCCTGGGCTGGCTCAGGGCTCACAAAATGGACCTCTCCCTTCCTGGACTCTGAATACGCTGTTTTCCAGCCTTCTTGCATGTAGACAGAGCCAGGGACTGGGGATATCAAATGAGTGTGGGAGGAGGTAATGTGTGTAATTAAGGGCAGGTTTGTTTTCCTCATGCTCTTTTCCTTGCATCCATGTTCTCTTGGGAAGTCACACGTGAAAAAAAAAACCTTTAGAAGGAAAACACTCTGATTCCGAGTTTTATTTGTTACTGTAGCAGAGGCTAGCCTAGCTTTCCTGGTTCTGGTCTGCAATGAGACAGCTGCATTTGAATTTCGTTTTTACCTTTGGCCAGTTATGTGACCTTGAATAACTGGCTTAATTTTTTTTTTTTGAGAAAGAGAGACACTGATTTGTTGTTCCACTGATTTATGCATTCATTGGTTAATTCCTGTCTGTGCTCTGACTGGGGATCAAACCTGCGACCTTGGCACATCGGGATGATGTTCTTACCAGCTAAGTTACCCCGCCAGGGCCTACATGGGGTAATTTTTATGTGCCTCAGTTTCCTGATTGGGAGAGTAAGCTAACAACAATACATAATGAAATATATTGTATTTTAATAAAAATATTTTAAGTAAAATATTTTAAACAGTATGTAATGAATAATAATATCTACCTCATATTATTCAAGGTAAAATGGGGTAATAAATGTGAAGACGTTGGAACACTATTAAATACTCCAGAAATGTTAGAAGCTGGTGGAGAGAAGAATGTTGAGAACACAGGATGGGTTACAGATGAGACAGCAAATGACCGCCTGCAGGTCGAATCCACTCAGCCACCGGTTTGTGTGTAGTCTCCCAACAAAGAATGAGCTTTACATTTTTAAATAGTTGAAATAAATTACATGAAAACTGTATGGAATTCAAGTTCAGTATCCATACTCATTTGTTTAAGTGTTGTTGTGCCTGCTTTTATACTGCAATAGCACAATATGAAGGACTGTAGCAGAGACCTATGGCCCACGAAGCCTAAAATATTTACTACCTGGCTCTTGACAGTAAAAGCTTGGCCAGTGACCTTGATAATGGCTTCTTTGGAGCAGTGTAAGTAGAAACTAGATCTTGGCAACAGGCTCATCGAAGTTTGATTCCTGCCTCTTCAGCTTGCTGGCTGTGTGGTCTTGGGAAGCCATTTAACTCCTCTGAGCTTCAGTTTGGGCAACTTTAAATTGGGTATAAACAGGGATACCTTCTTAGGTTATTGTAAAGATTAGTAACAATGCATTTAACCCATGAAACACAGTGTCTGGTTTATAGAAGGTGCTGAATAAATTATAGCTCTTGCTTCATTTACTCTGCTGACACCAAAACTGCTATTCCTTTATAGGTAATAGTTTTTCACTTTCTTTCATTTGAGTGAGGATTAAAAACAATTTCATTTTGTTTTTGTCTGCACCCGAGGATATTTTTCTCATTGCTTTTAGAGAGAGGATGGGAGAGAGAGAAATACTGATGTAAGAGAGAAACATCAATTAGTTGCCTTCTTTTATGGGTACAGACTGGGGATCAAACCTGCAACCTAGGTATGTGCCCTAATTGGGAATCGAACCTGTGATCTTTTGGTCTATGGGATAACGTTCCAACCAACTAAACCACACTGGCCAGGGCTGCTTTTTCACTTTTAATATTTTATTTGTCTTCTGTTCTTATTTTTTACAATATATGCCAAGTCTTTGCTCAAATCTCATATCTTTAATGAGGCTATATGAGTTGATATTGACCATTCCATTTAATACCAGAATCTGGCCCCCATCCTGGCATTCCTGACTCTTTTCCCTTGTTCTACTTTTCCTTTTCTCATAGAATCTATTACTTCTGACAATCTAGAGAATTCACTCATTTATTATGTTTATTGTTTACTGTATGTCTTCCCCATGAGCATGTAAGCTCCTTGCTTGTCTTATACCATCACATATTTCAAGTCCCTACACAGTTCCTGGCACAGAGTACATGCTCAATTAGTATTTGTTGAAGGACTAAGTGGAAAAAGAATATGTGAGAATTTATTATTTTTTTAGATCTTGGCCTATGACTGGAGGCACTCCATGAGTCTGGGGGCTTGTCTTTTATCCTATCTGTAAAATTGTCAACTATTATCTGTTATAGCAGTCTCTGCTCCACCCACCTCACTTTGCTCCTTTTTTGCCCTTTCGAATATGCCCAGTCATTTTATCCTTAGTGTCTCCTAAGTTCTTTCTTTTATTTGGCATCAATTTAGCTCTTTTATTCTAAGGCAATTTCCTCCGCTCTACCACTAAGTCTCTTTTTGGCTGTGTCGAGTCTACTGTTCAACCTCTTAACTGAATTTTTATTTCAATGACAATTTTTTTGTAGGCCAGACTTTCTATTTTTTCCCTTTTCCTTCCTGCTTCTTCTTTTCCATTTTTCCCCTGTACTTGTTTCATGGTTTCTAGTCTTCCCTTGATCTCTTTGATACTTAAAATATTGCTATCTTAAGATTTCTTTCAGACTTTTCCTGTTAGTTCCAGTTTTGAGGGTATGAGCCTTTCCTTTGTTGAGCCAGATAGAAATCTTGTTATTGTTTATCTTTTTGTGCTGTGTGTACTTTTGGATTGTGAGCTCAACTTTAATAGTAATTATTTGGCATTTGCCTCTGCCGATGTGTAAGGGGTAGCAACTGAAAAGGCTCCAAAAATGGTCCAGCCAATGGCCAGTCTTTGGAAGCTAGGGAGGGAAGCGGGGCATGTGCTTGAGGTTTATGTCCTTACTGTGAAACCTGCTGTGTAACTGTGAGCAAACTACTTTTTGCTTAATTTTCTTATCTATGAAATAGAGCTATAATAATTCCTATTTCCTAAAGATGTTCTGAAGAATTAGATAATCCAATTAAGAAACTTTGCATAATGTATTAAGCACCTGAGAAATGCTGAAAATATTTTAAGTATGCAGTAGTCATTATATCAATCATCAATATCTTCTTGCTTTGTGAAATAAGGAAAGAAAACTTAATGCTTGTGAAAATAGCTTCTGAATATGTATATGAAATGTGTAGCCAGCCATTAACCTTGGACAATTGTCAGATCTCTCTGCTTTACTCGTGACATATATTAGTTGAAGATGCGGGAAAACATCCCAGAACATGTTCACTTGGCTTTCAGCCATTGAAGAGGAGCACTGATGAGAGGCGTGAGGAAGTTTCAGACATTATCCTTTTAAAAAAATAAAGCCCAACTGGAGAACTGTTGCCAACGATTTTGCATCATTAAAATACAGCAGTAGGAAAAAGAATTCTTCTATTGAGAGGAAAATGACCCAGGTACATTTCTTTGCTTTTATTCAAGTAGAAAATATATCTTATTCCCTGGCTGTATGTCCTTGACCATCAGTCTGGTTCAAAGGTTAGAAACAGAAAAGCAGAGCCCCGAACCCGTAGCCAGTGCTTAATAAACGCCTTTGGTTTATGACTGGTGAAGGGACAGAGATACAAGCAAACTCTTGGGCAAGATAACTCATGTAACCTCATTTCTGTCACATGTAACTTTTAACTACAAACCTTTCCTTAATTAATTGCCATTCTGGATCCGTGGATAAAGAGGAGATAAAAGACCAGATTTAATGAAGGAAAGCTGTAGGCTATTGTGATTTGTCAGAGGCTACATGTGACGGTAAACATTTCAAAGAATGATTTATAATTCTAATTTTCATGAAATGTTAACAAAGGGTAACATGAAAAATACTTAAACAGAGATATGTTTTTAGATTCTAATTACCTGATCTTCGTAGTCAGATCCTGTGTCAATGACCTCTCCAGTGTCCAACATCATTGAAGGATCAGCGTCGCCTGAACCTAAGATTAGGAAAGAAAAGATCACCCGATGGAGGCCGTCTGTATATATTTCTAAAGCAAACGCTCTCCCACCAGGTTTCCGTATTACCCTTCTGATCACATTAACTTTGCAAACATTTCGAGACTCCTCCCATCTGCCAGGCGTTACTGGGCCTGCAGATGGAAAGTGAAGATGCTGTGGACACTGTGTTCACCCTTAAGAAGACAATCTCGTGAAGGAGATGGATTTGTCAATAGCAAGTTCAGAAACCAAAAAGAAAAAGGCTACTAATTCTGACTGGTGGTGGAGGTGATGCTGGAGGTGGGATTTCTCACAAGAAACGAATCCATCAGCCTGAACTGTGAGGGTGATAGTGGTGTCCAGGAGGAAGGCAGTTTGGGGGAGCAGCAGAAACTGAGGTAAAAGGAACAGCATGAGCAAAGTCCAGAGTGGAAGAAGAACAAGGGGCTCTTAAAAATAAGGAATGCTGAGTTTGCTCAGTCCATGAAAGCCCGAATTTTTCCTCCAGCCTTTGTGTCACCTTAGTCCCTGGAGGCAAGAAAAACCGGGTCACCTTAATGTATTCATAGCTTTTTCCTCCCTAGGCACTGCAGGTTACATTAAATTGCTTACCCGATGGATGCCCAGGGCTCGAACTTAAACTGGTAACGTTCATAACGGGCCTCCTGCAGCACAACTGATTCGTCATCCTCATCTAATGACTCTTTCCTGCTGGGAAATACAGGACGGGCAAACGCAGATTTACAGGCGTAATGTGAATAGATAATGCAATTAATATATAATAATATAAAAGCCCTGTGTTTTGCATACTCATTACTGTAAACCTACTTTTGCCCACTCCTGTGGATCTCACCTAACTAGCCAGAGACACAGAATTCAGGGCTGTGCACTCTGTGAAGACATAAGCTACTCCACGTTTCATTTTACACTTGGCCTTGCAGAATAATACTTGGCCACACTGCACAATGAGAAATGTTTAGTGAAGATGGACTTTTAAATAAAAACATTAAGAAACTCACTCTCTTCTCAGACATGGACCTTTCCAGAATCCCTACTTTCATGCTTCCTTTTAAAAAGAGGATCCGAGTAAATCCTCAGTCTCTTCTCGACTCTTCTCTTTCTTCTCATCATTACTCCTGCTATTCACCAAACTGACTAAGCGTCACTGAGTGGTGATGCTTCTACTGTTCGTATCTTTAAAAAATTTCAAGGATGATAAAATTCTTCAGCATGGAGATCCTTGGCCCATCAGACTATTTGAGAAAAGCAACCAGCTGTAGAGTTGCCACGTGCAGCTGCGTGGGTGTGTGCGGCGCAACTGCGGGTGATGCGGACCGCACCGCTGGCGCGGCCGCCGTCAAGATCCCACTGTGAACGAGGTGCGTGCTGGACTAGGGCTGGGCCAGCTGCGTGCCCCACAGTCCACAGAGTGGGACTAGATGGGTGATACAAACATTTTAATTACCTGTGTAATTTTAAGAAGTGGGATTACATATAACTTTCCTATTGTTGTGCTTTTGGTATTTTTTCAAGTAAAGATTCTCATAAGGTGTGTCTTAGGGCCAAGTTACTTGACTGTCTCAAAGCCCAGTTCAAAGATCAGTTTGCACTTATGGCAGTGAAGAGGTCAGAAGTAAAATGTATACTTTTTCATTATAAGTTCACAGACATTTTAGAACTAGTATTTCACAGAATCCTGCTCCTTCATTCCAGAAAAAAAAAAATGAGCTGCAGAGATGTTAAGTAATTTGGCCAAGGCGATGCAGGAAGTGAGATGAAGACAGACACCATAGGCCCTCTTTCTCCTAACACATCCCGCTGACTCCGAATTTTAAGCAGGAACCATCCCAAATGGCTTCATAAATGCGACCTTCCATGCTAGCACTCGATAGGAGAGCACCTGGAGGAGGCTGCTGTCTCTTCTACCTTCTGAGAAAATGAGGAGCAGTGGATGGCTGACGATGAGGTGTGGGTGCCCGAGTGACTGCGGAAAGGGAAGAATTAGAAGTAGAATCAAGGAGTGTCACTCCAGCCTGGGACGATCACGGGGCTGCTAGTAACAACGTGATCCGAGGTGATGGCCATTTTATTTAGTTTTCATTACTGCCACAGTATGGACATTACCCACCACTGACTAGAGGAAGTGGCTGGTGATCAGCACTCCGAGGATTTCCTCACCTGGCATGTGATTATGGTGAGTCGCGTGAGGTGAGCAGTGTGATACGAACTCAAAGACTTATTAACTGTGTGGCTGTTAGAGTTCCTGTGTCCTACTTACTTTATTTAGTTAGAAACTGTTCTTTTGGTTGTTTTTAAAAAGCACATGCCCTGGCTGGTGTGGCTCGGTGGCTTGAGTGCCCGCCTATGAACCAAAGGGTTGCTGGTTCCATTCCCAATCAGGGCACATGCCTGGGTTGCGGGCCATGTTCCCAGTAGGGGGTGTGTGAGAAGCAACCACGCATTGATGTTTTTCTCCCTCCCTTCCCCTGTCTCAATAAATAAATAAATAAATAAATAAATAAATCTTTTTAAAAAGTACAAAGTGAAGGCCTGTTGGACAACCTAGTTAAGAGATATTACACATTAATATTTGAAACTGGAACAAGATTATTAGAAAACTATTATCAGCAAGAGAATGAAAAGATCTTTATTTTTTTTTAAAACAAACAGAAAACAACCTGTGTTTACAGGGAAGAAGAGATTGACTCTCCCAATAGAATGCTTTCAGCAGAAATTTTATTGTATCATAAAGGGATGGGATTTCTTGACAGGTTGTTGCCCTTGGCAACAGTGCTAATATATCATAGAAGGCAATAGACAAAGGATGTTATTATCAGCTCAGATAATGACTGAATATCTTTCATTTTCTTTTGTATTCATTGCTTGGTTTGCTGAAAATGGGACCTTTAATAATAGCCTAAGGTTTGAAGTACAAAATAGGGAGGTAAATATAGCCCTATGGACACATTTTTGCCTTCTTTCATTGGACAACTGAACATATAAAACAACTTCAGTGGCTTTGTACTCAAAAAAAGAGAGCAAAATTGGGATATTTGAAAAATTGATAGTTTGGCTTTCACTTCCCCCAATTTTGAATTTCTTGATTTCTTTTCAGCTTTAAAAATATCCTTTCTATAGCTAACAGAGAAAAACATGAGCTGAAATAAAACCCCACAGGGAGCATCAGTGCTACCAGTTTTAGATGGAGAATGGTCTTTGGAGTTATTATTGTCTGGCTGCCTCCTTATTAAGTGGGAAGATGATACAAACTGGCTTTAGAGGCACCAGAAGGCAACCACACTGCTTCCTGGGCTAATGTCACAGACTTTTTCCTCCTAGTGGATCCTCATTCTTGAAACTTGAGGAATGTCCTCCTCCCACTTTGAGTACCAGATAAAGAAACACTCCAGCAAGGCAGGGCTTCTTGAGCAGAAAGGGATAAGATAAAACTCTAACACTTCATCTGCTCCTTTGAGGAAAGCAGTCTCTCCTTTGTCCTGTCTCTTCCAAGCAGCTTTAGGTAGGGCTTATTCCATTTCTGATTCTAAGAACAATATTTAGAAATTCTATGCATTTGATACATTTGAGGTCTTTCTGGAAAAAGTCCAGCCATTGTTAATAGAATGAGAATGCTTTGCATGACATTGCTGTAACCTGGCAGCCAAGGAGAGTGGACTGGAATGCGCGTGTGTGAGCAATGATGACTTCACTGTACTAGCCAGTGGGGGCAGTAGATGCCATTGAGTGGGCATATATATTGTGTGGCTGTTGCATTTAGAACAGTTGAGCGAGTAGAGCAACGAATCTGTAACAAATTTTGTGTTAAGTGTGAATATTCCTCCATGGAAACTATTCAGATGATTCAGAAGGCTGCAGCTATGGGCAACTGGTGATTGGCAGCTTCATCACAACAATATGCCTACTCATGCATCATGTCTCATGTCTCATACAGATTTTTGGCAAACCATCAAATCACCCAAGTGACTCAGCCCCGCTACAGCCCCAAAACCCTATAACTTGTGGTTTTCCCCAAAACTAAAATCATCTTTGAAAGGGAAGAGATTTCAGACTATCAATGAGATTCAGGAAAATATGACCGGTCAGCTGATGGCGATTGGGATAACTGTGTGAGGTCCCAAGGTGCCTACTTTGATGGGGACAGAGGCCTCACTGTCCCATGTGCAATGTTTCCTGTATCCTGTATCTTCTTCAAATGTCTCTATTTCTCATATTACATGGCTGGATACCTTCTGGACAGACTTCATATATGCAGAAGGAGTGGAAAATGAATAAAGGGACATACATCTTACTTTTGCAGATGTAATCTTCTTCATTCACTCCACAAACATTAAATCCTCCATAACAGGTATTACCCATGAGCATCCAGTTCTAATTCCAACAAGTGTGGAGAGTGTTAGTAACAGTTTACATGAGAACTCCTTTGAGGAGTACTGCATATTTTTTGGAAGGGGGAATGTGACAGTATTTGGGACTAGAAAGTGAGCTCCTTGAGGGATGTGGTATTAGTCAACTGCTTTGGGCAAGAAGGGAAGAGGGGATTTTCCAGTTCTTCCATGATGGGGTGTGAGGAGGAGGAAGAGAGAGGGGGAGAGTTGAAGCAGACCTAGGGAAATGGGGAAGAGTTGAATTGCATAAGAGGTGCTCTGCCCTTGTGTCTCCTCCAATCTTCAGAAGAGATACTAACATATATATAGTCTTTTCAATGTAACAGCCATATGCTTTAAAAAAAATTCTCACTCGAGGACATTTTTTTTCATTGGTTTGAGAGGATGAGAAGGAGAAAGAGAGGGTGGGTAGGGGGGAGAGGGAGACAGAGAAGATGGGGAAGAGAGAGAGACATCAGTGTAAGATAGAAACATTGATCAGTTGTCTCCTGTCCATGCCCCAGCTGGGGATTGAACCTGCAACCTAGGTATGTGCCCTGAATGGGAATTGAACCCACAAGCTTTTGGTCCACCCAGTTGGATGCTCCAACTGAGTAACACTGGCCAGAGAAAAACAGCCATATGCTTCATACACATAAACATTTACTCTTCACAGCAATTCTCTGAGGCTCACAGAGATTGAGTGCTAGAGCCGGATGGCCCTGCTAGGAAGTACTGATGGGAGGTTGCTGAGAAGGGGAGACGCTGCAGATGGGGCTGGAACGGTACAGAGGTTCGGGGTAATGGCATTCTATGGCGTTGAGGCAACACAGGTACACTCTGCTCTGGAGCCAAAGAAAATTTGGTGTGGCTGTGAGTCATTATGCCCAGATGAGTGGCCCAGCTGGGGTAGCCAGTGGGGAAAGGCCTTATGTACCATCTCCTGTGAGATTCACGCTGGGTACCAAACACACACACACACATGCATGCACACACACACACTGTCCTTGTGAAGTCTTATACTCTAAAAGGGAAGTAGATTTTGTAACAAAAAATCATATTTCTAATTATATTATCACAAGTCTGATAAATCACAAGTGTGATAAATACCCTGAAGGAAAAGGGTGGGGTACCACTCAAGGGCCTCATCTTGTCTGGGTTGGGGCCTGAGAAGGCTTCCTGAGGAAATCACATGGTAGGACCTGACCAGGTGAAGGACGAGACTAGGACTTGGGAGAGCACAGTGATACAACGGGGCCAGGCATTTCCAAGTACCTGGTACAAAAGGCCAGAGGCAGGTAGATACCTGATATTCAAGGGTCTGGTGAAGCTGGTGTGGGGTGATGGGGGGAGGTGTTGTCGCAGAGAGAACAGGACCACTTTAGAAAAGCTAAGGATATTTCTGCCATGTTAAGGATACTGGTGCTCAGCCTGCAGAGAAGTCATTGAAAGTTTTGTTTTATTTATTTTTTGTCAGGAAGGCAGGATGATCAGTGCTGCATTCTTTGCGGATGCCCATGGCAACAGCAAGATTTATGACAGACGGGAGAGGCCAGGATGTGCAAGGAATGACACACACGGCCTTTGATGAGTGCGGTGGAGACTGAGAACAAGGACTGGACTCCCAAGGCGTCCCTGAGGATGGATGATCGGTGTGGGCTGCAAGCGTAGGCACAGTTTTGGCTGGCTCTCTTAAAAGGGAAAAACTGCATGATCTCCCTGATATATGGAATCTAAAAACATCAAATAAATAGAAGCAGAATAGAATGATGGCACAGACATGCAGGTGGGGGAAGTGGGAAGATGCTGGCTAAAGATGTACAGAGTGGCAGTTAGGTAAGATGAGTAAGTCTGCAGGTCTAACGTACAGCATGATGACTCGAGTTAATAATCCTCTTTGAATGCTGGAACTTTGCTAAGAGGATGTATTTTAGGGGCCACTGATCACACCCAGTAAAGTGGCAACTATGCATGCCAATCAGTTCGCCTGCAGCGATCATTTTCCTATGTACATGTATGCCAAATCCTCATGCTGCACATCCTAAATACATAGTTTGTATATAAAAAATTTAAAGGAAGAATTGAAGCTAATCACATGGAAGTGACGGGACAGCTGCAGGGCAGCTGAGGTTCTCCAGAGAGGGTTCAGAGGAGAGAGCGAAAGGACAGCACCTAGGGGCTGACAATTCACAGAACTGAGGGCACTGACGAGGCCTGTTCCACTGGGTGAGTCACCGACTCTTACAAGCCTGGAGATTTCACCCACGTGTGCAGCTTTCTGTTTTCTCTTGAAAGAAGAGAAGGGCCTAGCGACACTGGCCCATTCCTCAAGGACAACAATCACTTGGAGCAGCAAAGTGGCTGCTTCCTGTAGGGGAGACATCATTTATTTTTAGTTTACCACAGTCCCTCCTGGGCTTACTTCACTCACCAAGGGGTTATAGGCAGAGCAGGCTTATATGAAGGCTGGTGCAGAAACCAGCTTTCAGGGACTCAGGAATTCAGGGACTCAGGAGTGCAGGGGAGCTAGTGGGGGACTCAGGAGTGCAGGGGAGCTAGTGGGGGCTGGAGCCATGAGCACAGCCACCTCTGTGATAAGCTTGGAGGTGTGGAGGGGGAAGAATAGGTCCCTTCAAACCTGTGCTAAGGGCAGGCACTGTGCACTCTCCCACGGGAACCTGGAGAGGATGAGGGCAGAGCGCCTGTCCTCAGGCAGTTCACCGAGGAGCATAGAAGCCAACACAGCTGCCTTATTGCAGGAGGAGGCCACTTTGGAAAAATGCCACTTGAAAGCCTCGAAATGCTGGCAGCTCTAAAAAGGGGCAGCGTGAATCAGCTCCTCCACCCCACTCTATTAGCAAACCAAAGATATCTAGCAATTAGATATTTGTTGTTAGAGGTCTAAATAAGTGTTTTAAATAAAATATTGACTTAAAAATCACTGGTGTCATAGCATTTTTCAGAGCGGCAGCAGCAGCAGTCTTGTTTACATGATCTCACCGGCCTCCCAACAGTCCATCCTTTCCTGCAACAGGTCACCTTTTGTAAATGTCACTGGAAACTGAAGCAGGTGAGTTTACATCAGTTATCTGTGCTCTGTGGGTCTGCAAAGGACTAACGCCTTGCCTTTTTACTCTGCCTTTCTTTGTGGGCTCTTAGTGGGCTTTAGATATTGGTTTAAAATTTTAAGCGTTTAGCCTTTTTCTTTACAGCCCAGAACTTTATGATCTTTACCCACTGAGGTTGTATCTGAGAAAAAACATCAGGACTGGGCCCAAATTTGAGAGTTGTTCACACAGAACTGATAGCCAAGGCCTAGCGGGACAATGAGTTGACCGCAAGGGTATAAAGGAGAGTGAGAGAAGGGTCAAGGGCAGAACTGTGAGAACTGTCTACTACGGGGTATGACTGCTCTGCATTATCATCCAGTGTGGAATGTCTTCACACTTCCAGGCAAAAGTACTGGGAAAAGAAGAGGCAGAGTCGCAGTCAGGACTGTGGGGCAGGTGGGAGAGGCTCTCGGATCCAAGAGGAGGCTTCTGCCAGGAGCCAAGGAGAGAGACCTGTGTGGGTGAGGGAGTCCTGGAAGAATTGTAACTTGGAATTCTTGCACAAATCAGAGGCTAGATTAGATTTTTTCGATTATAATAATACAGGTCTTCTGCTACATTCTGACTTCCTGCTAATTTACGTGGGTAATGTCCGGAAGGAACACAGTAACTGTAAGAGCCAGAAGTACGGTTCTTCTTTTCTTTTTTGTTTTGTACCTTTATTTTTGGACCATAAAGTATAAAGCCCTCAGGACAGGGTTATCCTTGAAACTTTACAGCAGTTTGTTGAGCTCGAACCTCAACAAACAAAGTCCCAGACACTTGGCAGGTGATCAGGACATACTGTTGCCCAAAGGACATGGTGACTTACCTGCTGCAGCCTCTTTGTTTGGAAATAACTTGCTGTCAACCGCCACGCTGATGTCATAGAACACCTCATCCTCGTCTCGGTCAGCATCAAACTGGGGGAAATCAGGACAGATGAGTTGGGAGCATGAGAACACGTAAATGAATTCATCCCCAAATGAAATAAGCATGCTTCACGCAGTTGTATCCCTAATGAAGCAGGACCACGCGAACAAAAGCTCTTGAGTGCTTAATCAGACAGAGTTTTTTAGGTCAGACCTCATATCAAACAAAAAGGGGTGTTAGGGAGTAAATTTAAACTGGTAAATAGTACAGTCAGTTATGATTAAAAATGTGTATGATGTTCTTAATTTGTAATCTTTTGAAAAAAGGAAAACAACTTTACTTTGTGTCTTTGTATTTTTTTAGTTAAAAAAATCTCATGAAAATATGTAGTTTTAAATCACAGGGTAAATAATTTTTTTCTCATATATTGTTAAAAAAAAGAACCTCCAAACCAAATTTTAGTTACCATTGTAGATACTATAAATACTAATAGATGTATAATCCATAGACACTGTAGATTTAGATGTAATACAAATTATAGAATTAATATTTATTTTACCACTCTCTAAAATTGGCAAAATTAAAAAAAAACATGGTTATATTATAAATCCTCTATTTTCTAAGCTGTGTGCAGTTTATCTACACACACTTTTATCTCTTTAGTTTTTAAAAACAGCTTTATTGAGTTATAACTGATATACAATAAACTGCACATAAGGTATAGTTTTTGAAATCTGTATACATCTGTAAAACCATAAAAGTCAAAATGGTGACCCCATCCATTGCCTCCAAAAGTTTTGTTGTGTCTCTTAGAAATCTCTTCCCTCTGCCCACTACCAGGTAATCATTGGTTGGCTTTCTGTAACTATAGGTTATTTTGCATCTTCTAGAATTTTATATAAAAGAACTTTTAGAGCATTCCATCCTTTTGTCTGGATTATTTCACTTAGCACAATTATTTTCAGATTCGTCAATGTTGCACCCGTAGTTCATCTGTTTTCATTGCTGAGCTCCATTTCATTGTGTGGATATACTGTTAATCCTGTCCTGGATACCTTTCAGTGGAGACAGTATAGTTTTCACTTGTAGATGTTTGATGTGAGTCTTTAAAAATATTTTTGTCACTATTTATGATTTGAACATCTGAAATACAATTACAGTAACTTAAAACTGTTTTATTGATTTGACAGAGAGAGAACACATCAATTTGTTGTTCCACTTATTTGTATACTCATTGGTTGATTCTCATATGTGCCCTGACCAGGGATTGAACCCACAACCTTGGCATATAGTGACAATGTTTGACTAACTGAGCTACCCAGCCAGGGCCAATTACAGTAAATTTTAACATCCTTCTCTGCTAATTCTAACATTTCGTGTCAGTTCTGAGTCAGTTTTGATTGATTTTTTTTATTATTACGAGTCATACTGTTCTATTTCTTTTCACATCTGATACATTTTTCTTGGCTATTAGGCATTGTCATTTTGACCATGTTAGAAGCTAGGTATTTTTGTATTCCTATAAATAGTATTAAGCTTTGTTCCGGAATGTAGTTTAGTTACTGAGAAACAATTGCATCCTCTCAGGTCTTGTTTTTAAAGACTTGTTGGGCTGGACCAGAGTTTAGCTTCTGGCCAGTTATCTCCCACTGTAGAGACAAGACTATCCTACGTCCTCTCCCCAGTGCCTTGTGAATTAGTAAGTTTTTCGGTCTGACTGGTAGAAACAGTCACTCTCACTCTTCCAAGCCTGGTGTGAGCGCTAGTTACTACTGTTTCCACTAATTCTCTCGGGCGATTTCTCTCCCTCAGGTTCAAGTCATTCTCTCACACACATGCACTGATTAGTTCTCTGAATACTGAAAAGGGAGCCCTCTGCAGATCTCCAGTGGTCTCTGTGCACTCTCACATCTCTGACACTCTGTGCTCTGAACTCCAGCCACCTTGGTCTCCTGGGTTCTCAGCTTCATCTGCTTGGCTCACTGAGTGCACCAGTCTGCACAAGGCTTCCTTCTCCTGCGCTGCAGCCTGGAGACTCTCCGGCACTAAGCTGGGGCAATGGCAGGGCTCACCACATTGGTTTCCTTTTTCTCAGGGGATCATCTCATGCCCAATGTCCAGCATCTTGAAAATTACATACATATGTTTGTTTCATGTGGGAGAGAAAATGTAGTCTCTCTTATTCCATTTTTGTCAGGAGTCCCAACTCTATTTTATTTATTTATTTTTAGAGAGTGGGGAAGAGAGGGAGAAAGAGAGGGAGGGAAACATCAATGTATGGTTGCCTCCAGTGCACCCCCTACTGAGGACCTGACCTGGCCTGCAACTCAGGCATATGCTCTGACCGGGAATTGAACGGGCAACCCGTTCAATAATTGAGTGCTTGCAGGCCAGCACTCAATCCACTAAGCCACACCAGCCAGGCAGGAGTCTTAATTCTTTAACTTTCAATCTTAATTTATTAATTATTATCTTGAAGATACTTAGGAATATTTAAATGATTTATTCCTTTTTATTTTTCTGCTGAAGTGTTTCATTATTTTTATTATTTTTAATCCATACCTGAAGATATGCTTATTGAGTTTTAGAGAGAGAAGAAGGCCATGGGGGGAGAGAGAGAGAAGTGGATGTGAAGGAGAAACACCCATTGGTTGCCTCTTGTCTGTGCCTCGACCAGGGATTGAACCTGCAGCCTAGGCATGTGCCCTGACTGGGTATTGAACCTGCAACATTTTGGTTCATCGAACAATGCTCTAACCAACTTAACCACCCAGCTGGGGCTGAAGGGTTTTATTGTGTTTAGTGAGGGAAATTTAGAAACTAAATTAGACCTCCGCTTACACAGTTAAAACACATCTATATAGTGCTTCAAAGTGTTCCAGGGGTGTCCAACCTTTTGGTGTCCCTGGACCACACATATACTGTGACATGTAATCACACAAAAAATCTCATAATGTTTTAAGTTAATTTACGATTCTGTGTTGGGCCTCATTCATTGCCATCCTGGGACACATGTGGCCCTTGGGCCGCAGGTTGGACACTGCTGGGCCTTTTATATTAGCCTACAGGAAAGGAGAGGCAGGCAGTTTTCTTTCTATTTTACAGGTGAGGGAATATCTATTCAGAGATACTACAGCTTTCTCAAGTTACAGAGCTAATAGGCAGGAGAACTGGCACCTGAACTGAGGATGATTGGCACTTGCCATCCTACTAGGCTGCACAGACCATTACAGTGGGACAAATACAGCCCTACTGCTCAAGGAAGTGTTAACACAGCCCGTTTGTCTAAAAGCCATGGTGGGAAAGCATGTGGTGGTCACAGGGCAGGTACAAGGAGACCACAAAGGCACAATTAGTGCTGTCTGAATGCACTGCTTCCTAATGCATATACCACGGCTGCTTTTTATTTATTTACTTATTTTTAATTTTTCACATAGGATTTACTGTAAGCCTTGAGAAGGTCACCTTGTCCAATCCAAAAGCTATCTTTAAGTGCTGTGGATCCCAGCCAGGGGTGCAAGAATATGACTTTCTAAAACAGATAACGACAGTTGAAAAGCTGGAACTGAAAGCGAATAACTGCAACAAGGTATTCATTTCACCTGTGCTGCCCCAGCTTGTTGAGCGTGAGCACGTGAGCACGAGGTCTGGCCACCCGGAAGTGCTCCCTCCCCTCCCTTTGGGTTCTTCTGTGGCAGCTCCGACAGAGGAGGGTCATCCAGCTGATGAGCCCAAGTTCCACCTGGACACAGTGAAGACTGGGGTATAAATGGAAGCGGCAACCAGTGCAGTTTGCCTGGCCAGGGGACGTGGGAGAGGACGTTCGGAGGTCATACGGAGCATTCAGGTATTTCTCATTTTACTTCAGTACAACAGCCTTTTGCGGTTAGTGAAAGGAAGGTAAACCTGGATGTTACTATAAAACTTAGTTTAATAAATATTTAAAGAATTCAAAGATTTTTTGCCTCTCTTGTAATTTGGATCTCTTCTTACGTATATTGTACTATATGCAAACAGGGTAACTGAGCAAAACTTTTGATCCCTAAAGCTACATCCAGGTTTATGATAGTAATTGTGTTTACATTTTATGATGTCTAGTATTGACAAATGTTCTATCCATGTATTAAATAGATGAATCCATAGACCCTTTTTTTGGTGGGTTTATTTCCTACAATGTATACTGTCAGCAATCTTACGTCAATTACTTGACATCGTGAAGTGAGGAATGGAAGACAAAATTGACATAATACTTGTTATCCGTTTCTAAAACCTGTTCAGTTCTACCAACTGTAAGGCCAAATGAGGAAAGAAAGGGAAGTATATGTGATACTCAGGACACCTGCAGTGTCATTAGCTGCACCGTGCAAAAATCTTCTGGTTCAGTTGTAGAGAAAACATTAGAACAAATGAAGACAGAAACACACATTTTATACCATTTGATTAGCTTAGGGCTGTTTATTTTCCTTTCAGAATATCCGTTAGCTATCATCATAAGGGGTAACATCTGCTAAGAGGGGTATTGTTTTCACTTTTTGGTGGACTTTTGAGGGATGGGTGCATCACTTCATAAATGAAAGGGCATATGCTCATTTAGCCAGGATCCCTAGAGAACAGAGCCTCCTGACAAAACTCCTAGGTGCGAACCTGTATTAAGGGTGGTGTGTGTGCATACCCATTTGAGAGGAAAAACGGGAAGTGAGGCAAAAAAAGGAAAGAAAGTAAATTTAAGACGGTATATTACCGAGCTGGTTGCCAGCTTTACAAGAAGACATTGCTGGTAGTTCGGTTTCCAGAAAGAATAAACGGACCCATGACATCTCAGAACAGTGAGATGGGGAGGGAAGGGGGGAGGCATTTATATGCTGGCTCCTTTCAGTTTTCTCTTTCACTGGCCCAACTTTTCCCTAACAAGGAGTTAGGGCCTCCCACCACTTCATTGTTCTGTTGCCCAGCCCCCGGGGTACCACTGGGAAGGCTGGCCCCCTGCCCTAAAGGCCATCACAGCATCTGATCTGGACCTGCTGAAAGGAGCCAAAGCCACTGTGGGTCT